TTTTATCAGACACAGGGGAAGCTTCTAGCAGCTTCTCACAGAAGCCACCCTTGGAGCCCTCCTGATACCAAAACCTTGCCTTGCAAACCCAGTACACCCTTATCACAACACAGGAGGTAACATGGTCTGTAAAACTGGTCTTCTGGAGTCTAATCCAGCTATTTTTATTTTAAGACCTGACATTGTTGGACTACCATGGGAACCCTGCAATAATACATAATATAATGAATAATCAACCAAAGAAACATTTTGGCCATAATTCTGTTCTATTCTGCACAGAGTATTATGCCATGTTCATCTCAGAATGAGGAGCAATGATGACAAGACCATTTTTAACACAAGTCCATATAATACAGTAGTAAAAATTTCAGTTAATCATTTGAGATGTACCTGTACTTACTGAACCTCCACTCTTAACAGTTTCACAAGAAGTTCTGCAAAAGTGGAAGTTCTCCCATAAAAGTTAATAATATAGGTGTCCTTCACAGGATTACTGCCATTTGAGCTAGGAAAAAAAAAAGAAGGAAGCAAGCAAACAGAAGAACTATATGGTACAAAACCCAAATTCTTCATTGGCTCATAACTGAGAATAATCTCAGCAATGATGCTAAACTGTGGGCTGTCCAAGAAGGACAAAGGGTTGAAGGAAAAAATGTTTTGGCAAACAAAAAACCTAAAACAAGGCAAAGAGAATGCAAGAAGAGATTTACTTGCAAATTCAAGGGGACTATCAAAATAAGGTCTTGCGAATTAACACCCTCAGTGCTCATTAGGGAATCCTGTGCATATATATATACACATATATACATAGCTTCCATAGCAACATAAATCTATTAAGAGATTTTTGCTACATGTAACACTCCAAAGAGCAAATCCCAAATAGCCTGGTAACAAGACAATTAAATAGCAAAAACACGCTGGATTGAGGAAAATAAAGAGTCAAGATACACAGCTCCCTCCAATGCTTAGATGTGTGGGGGAAGCAGGCAGCAGTGTGGTTGCATAAGCATCAATGAAGGCGGAACTTGGCCTCAATTGGTAAAATCTCTATCATTACGATAAACTAGCAAGGAGAGACATGCAAGTTACTGGAACATATTCCAATCAGTGAATAAAGATGACATAAATGTGATGCACAGCACTGCACAGTAAGAAGGCAGCAACTGTATAGATAAAATAAGTGAGGCAGTACTTTTCCTTTTCAGTCGCATTTTCAGTTCTTCAGTCTTTTCCCAAAGAGATCCTTCTGAGAACACATTTTCTCCACTTTGGTCTGAAACCCAGAAGCTTGTCTCTTGCATTAACATCCATTTGACTACATTAGAGTTATTTGAGCAGGGACTAGAGAGGGAATAGGGTAAGAGAGACCTTTTATGCCATGACAAAATTAGCCCAATGCTCTTTCTGCTCATGGGGAGCTCAAGCAGCAAGAAACAGGTATTTAATTTAATGCTGTTAAAAGCAAGATTTGAGTTCTATAATAAGGTCAGTACTGAATTTAGGACTGAATTTGTTGGTGAGATGCAAGCAAAATTGTTGGGAAAAAAAAAAGCTAATCTGAAGGGAGAAATTCTGAAGTCTGCAAAGAAATTAATCATCTGGACAATTTCTCTGACTGAGCAGACACAAAACCTCCAACAATGAAGATTTTGGAGTCACGTCAAGTAATTTATGAACCTTTCTTTCTGTAATTCATGCCTACTATATCTTGTAGTATCTATCATGAACATGGAGATGAGAATATTCCTCTCCTCTTTGCCACACTCTTTTATAAGAAATCCATGCCTGTTGGGCATTTCCCAGACTTCTCTTCCTTAAGCAATGTAAGGCCACAAGTTAACATTTATTAAATTGTGAAAAATTGAGATTCCTTATCTGATTCATATTCCTGAACCAGCGGCAATGAATGCATTCATGCAGTAAGACTATGATCTGCAGTGTTACAAGCAACTAAGTATCCAAAGGGATGGTTCATCAAGGCAAAAGTACTGGGAAGGGGTTTATATCCACTAGGTTCTGGTTGAAATTATACCACAAGAATCATATAAACACAAAATTATTCTGGTTGGAAGGGACCTTGGGATGTCTGTATTCCAACCTCCTGCTCTGAGCAGGTTCAACATCAAACTTAGCCTAAGTTTGCTCAGGGTTTTGCCCAATTAGTTTTTGAAAACCTCCAGGGATGGAAATTCCACAGTGAAGAGTTCATGGTCTCAACAGCAGAACTCAAACTGAGCAAAGCAGTGACATCTGACACAACATAAACTTCCCCACTAAATTTTGTAGGATAGAATAGGCTGATTAACCTCCTCCTAACACATCCGTGCCTTTGACTTTTTTATTCTCTTTGCACTTCCAGGACACCACAGTGCTCTTAGTGCCTTTTTACAGGTATAGAATTAAGGATCAGAAAGATGCTCATTGAAAGATTGAGTGGGAGTTAGGTACCTAAATAATGTTAAAAACCTGTGTTAAGTATCTTGTTCAAGGTCGCAGAGGATGCAATCGGAAAAGAATAAAACTGAGCCTCCTTCTTCTAAAAGGCTGAAGGAAAGTGAATGACTTCAATGACCACTGAATGAAAGACTAACCTCATTCTTTCTCCTTCTTCACATCAGGAAGAAAAGACATGGCATTAAAACATGGCAGAGTTGAATATATTCAGGATATTCAGTCCAGGAGCTCATTTCATAACACAATCTCATTTCCTACAGCAACTCTTCTAGTTCTCCATCCTGTTACTTGGTAAACAATAAAACTACCTGTGGTAAATCTTTCAGCGCTGCAAGTGCAGAAGTTCTTAAGCAGATTTTAGGCTATCATAGCGTACAAAGAGAGAAAAAAAACTCCTTAGCAGACCTCACTGAAAAACAAGAGAATTTTTTTAATTCAAAAAATGCCATTCCTTTTTGCCATTTTTTGTTCACTGGATGGAAAAAGCAATCAATTTTCATGGAAGTATCTGTAAAAAAGTTCATTCTGTTAAGACAAAAAAAAAAAAACCCACTGTTGAATTATAAATGAAGAATTTTCATCTAAATCTCAAAATTTTCAAACGTCAATAAATGGCACAGAGAAGCACTGCAAGCCACTCACCCATGTGTGGAACAGAGAGGAGACTAGTTATGTAGATGGGCCATGGACCAGTGGCTACACAAACCAATAGAGAAAAAGAGGAGCAAAAATCTGCATGGAAGGTAACAGCAGATGTAGTATGGATATGCTTACACTGTTTCCTGAAGAGACTAAAATTGAGTTCAGTTTTCCCAACCCTTGCAAAATAATCTGTATGATTTACAAGCATATACAAATACATTGAAGAGAAGGGAGAAAGCTAACTTTGGGGTCTAAGGATGATATTTAGGCCAGCTGTAAAAATTGAATTGCAAGAACGTTTTACAGTCTTTAATATTTTCAAAATTTTTAAACTAGTTTCAGAACTTTGACCAAAAGTATCTTTTAGACTTAGCTCTTCACTTTCCTCTTCATTTTAGAAAGTGTCTAAACTTCTTCAGTATTTTTTCCCCACAGTCACAGACACAGTTAGACAAACTCAAATGCATGGCCTCCTGGTCCTCATCTCCTGACCAAGACAATGAATCTGCTGCTTGAATCATCTCACAGGTTCTGAACACACATTATACTACTTTGCACATGTGTTTCATTTTGAAGTATAAGATAAGCAAAAAAAGACCAGAAGGTGAATTGGTAGAAGGCAGACGAGTCTTCTGAATTGAGAGGAACTTTGCTGATTGATACCAGCTGACAATCTGGCCCAACATATTGACCAAAGAACATTTGCTTTATAAACAACCCACTTGCTATGCCAGGAACAAACACAGTTTTCAAATGGATGCACTGGGCTGCAAAGCCATTAGAGATTATGGTAAAATTAAACACGTTTTCATGCTTTTTCTGTCACAAAAGTCATCATAGTGAAGGACTTAAGTATTTTCGTTCCCTTCTTTTTGCACTCCCTTTGCTAAGATTCATTATGTGAATACATCCGAGTCAGCCATAAGAAGAAAAAAAAGAGAAAAGTATATCAGGCCACCTTACTTCCAAGCAAGTTCACAAAAGCTTATGGAACTGACTAGCTATGGCAATGGTATCAACCATATGAAAAAATATACCCTGAATCTACCAAAGATAAAACCCAGAGGCTCTACAGCAGGTTAGGATGCGCATCTTCTGTGCTTTAACCCCATGTCAACTTTCCATTGAAATCTATTCCTGAGTACGACGTAGTGTCACAGAGCATCCACTTTTTCCTGGATTCTCAAATACTGAGCAACCATAGAGCATTTTCAGAAAGTTGTTAACCCTTAATCTATCCCTTTGGATAGAAGTCATTTCAAACAACTGCAATGGCGCAGCTGTGGATAACTTCACAAGACAGACCAGTATCTCACTTTCCCAAGTTATCTTTTTGGGTTCTTCTGGTGGTGGTGGATGTTACCCTTGCTAAATCAAAATAGTCAAATCACTAAACCATTCAGATTGTAAGAATTGTTATTAGAAAACAAAACTAACAGTATATAGATTACAATGATTTACAGAGAACGGAGGATCTATGAGCATGACAAAGACCAAATTCCTTCAGCAAATATGTATCACAATAAGTGGATTAGAAAGAATTTGCCAGCACGAGCCCATAAGCTTGGCTGACATTTTGATGACAAAAAGTTGAGCTCCAGTTGCCTATTGAGCATGTTTGTGTTCCTGTGAGCCTGTCTGCAGCAGAGAACACCGGGAGGGATGAGAGGAGGGGGAAGGATAGCTGTCTCACACTTGACTGGCTCTTTTTCTTCTCAACGCTGTTCACTTTCTACTCCTAAACAACTGTCAACAGTACTCCAGTAATTTCCTAGTTGATCTTTCCCACTCTGCAGCATTTACAGGCAGTTTGTGTCACGCGTGATTAGCAAAGGCATTCTGTCCCTTTCCCATCTCCCAGCATCCCAATTTCCAGGGCAAAAAGTAATGTCCGGGTCACTCACCCCTAACATCTGATGCAAATAATAATACTGCAGCCCTCGATAATAGAGCAGGAAGGTTTTCCAGAAGAGCCATACGTTGAGGGAGAGCCAGAAAAACTAAAATGAAACAGAAACAGGAGATTGTAAGTGGAAGTTACATGTGCAAACTTTTCAGTGTTAATTTCATTCATAAAACTCATATGCCTGTGGTTTCATAAACGTACGTAAATGGAATGGGAAAACAAACTTCAAGCATTTAGGACCAAGTATTTCAAAACATTAAAAGGAATAGCCCCTATGTGAGAAATTTTCACTTTAACTGAACTTCACAAAACTTTACCTTTGTGACTTAAGACTACCAAGAGCTGGCGAAACCCTCCGCATACGAAACGCTACTCCGAATCTTTAGCTCGATGTTGCTGTTAAAGACCCAAAGAATAAAAACTAGCAACAAAGAGACAAAGGCAGGAAGAACTCGACCTCCAAGAAGGTGCACCTTCTCCCCCAGACTTCCCCGAAGACGATGTAACAAAGGGCAAAGACACGTAACAGCGTGTGCCGAGTGCCCGCAGGACACGGCCGC